TTGCGGGGCTTCAGCGATCAGTGCCACCAAAGAGCCCTGTCAAGAATTTCTTGTTTAAGAAATCCTAAGGGTCCATGTACCCAAATAGTATATACTTTGGCCTTAAAGCAGTCCCTATATGGGTAATTTGGGGCCAAAGGATATAGTCTTTGGGCACATGGACCCTTAGGGGAAATTGAACTGAAAGTAAATTTAAGTTGCGAAGAAAGAGGCATATTATTCACTAATAAAGAGGCATATTATTCACTATAGATCCGTGTTGTGGTAGCTTGACTCCAGCTCCCTAACAAGAAGTCCTGATCCCTAAGCCCTAAAGTGTTGGCGTGTTAGAACTCTAAACCGCCACCAGACTTACAACAAAACCTAAACCACAAACCCTAAACCCTAAACCCTAAAGAACCTGCGAGTTGGAGTCCGAATAACAATAATAAGTGTTCCAAGCCACAGTCTCGTTCGGAATCTCGTCTTGCCTCCCAGAGACTCGAAGATCGCTCACTTGACGCACTATACTAGAGGTGCCTTCATGATACCATGTACCATGACTGTGTTAGGGACGGCCCTTTCTTACCCTAAAAGTAAAGGGGAATCCTTCTCATCATGTAAGGTATGCTCCTTATACAAGAGGCTTTGGGGTGTCAGGGCTCGCGGCCGCAGTACAGAACCATGTCTGATGCTTGATGCTTGAAGCTTTACCTCTGAAGGTCGTTCCCACAAGTCCTCCTCCCTGAAACACTAGACCTCTTTGCAGCCCCAGAATATAAATCGACTGTGCGATGCATCGGCGCGCACATCCAAAAGCTGCGCCCCAAACCCTGACCCCTCAAACACATCAGGGGTCTGGGGTTTAGGGTTCACGGTTTAGGGTAAGTTTAGGGATTAGGTTTTTTGGGGGTTATAACAACCTCAGCCCCTCAACACCGGTTTATTCATGCGCTTCTTGTCGGCACTGTTGTAGTGTTCCTCGTGGTACATCGGTCAATGCCAGCACTAACAAAACCGTCAATCATACTACAGTGTTCCTGTTGATTTTCATTTTGCTTCTCAGTGATGTGGAGCCTCAGACCTAATCCAGGATGCTCTCTGTCTCTGCAAGCAGCACCTAAATCCTAAACCAGCAAGCCCAATAAATTGGAACATGGGTTTCGAAGGCTTAGTGCTAGAACCCCCTCTACTTTTACCTAAAGATAAGGGCATGGGGATGATGATGTTCCAACCTTCTGACTTCTACCGTAAATCGAGCCTAGTTCCATGATTTGGCTGGAGTACGCCGCAAACTTGTCACCTCAGATTTCAGGACCGCGCGGCGGAGGGTTACACAAGCCGAAGATTTGCCGTACGGGGTAGGCTAGGAGGGATTAGGATGTAGGTTTTAGGTTTAGAGTAACACTCGCAAGAGTAAGAGTGTACTGAATACCATGCTTGTTTGGTGGCATTGGCTTCGGCTTATGACCTTGAGACGCATGGCACCTAGCCTATGCCCGCCCAGCATGGCAAGGGTTTAGGGTTTAGGATTTTAGGATTTAGCGTGGCTACTTTCCAGAAACCCTTCTTGGCCCTTGCTGTCATTCGTAGCAAATTGGTACCAACGTACCTTGCCTAAACTTTGAACTGGAGGCAAAGAAGAGCCAAACGTGGCAGTCTGCCAGACTGGCGCCACTGCAATGCTGCAAGGCTGAGACTGGGTTCTTGTTAAGAAGTAGTTGCCATATTAGGGATCTACAGCAAATAATCGGGATTTTGTCATGATAACTTCAATTCAAAGCCTTACAAGACATCCGGAAAGCAGTGACAAGGGAGGTTCTCTAGGAGCCATACGTGACATTGACACCCTGGCACAGAAGCAGCCAAGCTCCTGAACCCAAACATCCCTGAGCCCAGAATCCACTAATTCAAGACTAGGGTGTAGGGTTTGATTTTTTTGGCCCTGAACCCTAAACCCTAAAACGTGCTTGTTAGGGGCATAGAATCCATCTGAGGCTGCAGAGAAGGTGCATGCAGCTAAAAGCCTAAACCCTAAACCCATGTGAGGCTGCAGAGAAGGTGCATGCAGCTAGTCCGGCATGCAGGTCCTCGGACTTTGACAGCAGGCGGCAGGCTTCCAACTTTAGGGTTTAGGGTTTAGGGTTAGGGTTTGGGGTTTAGGGTTTAGGGTTTAGGGGGTGTATATTATACTGTGAAAATCGAACCCTCAAAACCCTATTACAATTACTAAGGCCACTACATTAACCCTAAGGGTCCAAGTACCTAATAATCATATACGTACTTTTCTGAATACCAATGTCGAAGCCCAGCAACCTGCTAAACCTTTGTTAGTTGTTGTGCAAACCCTGAAGTTCTATAATGAGAAAGACCTCGGGTGCGCGCGCGGGGGGGTGGGGGGTGGGGGGGGGAGGGGTGGACTTCAGAAGTTGTTAAGAGTCTATCAGCGTATCATACACACCATAGCGGTAACAATCATTCTGCTGCACGGGTGTCGCTATGGTGCAGCAATACAAGGCCTACAAAGCCTGTAGTTGGCTGGAAGCTGTAAGGGACCGATTCTGCAAAGCGGTCGTGTCGATCTCTGGACCTTTAATTTGAGTCTGCCAGGAGCAACCGGAGTTTGATCTGTTCGGTTTATTATTAACGTTTAGGGATCAGGGGTTGAGGGCGGAGGTCAATGTTCCCTGAATCCTAAACACCTTGAACACCTGGACAACTACTCCCGCAACGACGTGAAAGAGCGGTGTTCTTGCTGCACTTCCTCCCAGCTCATACCCAAAAGCAGAAAGTTGCTAATTGAGATCTGGCGCCAGCTGCTTTGCAATGAGCTGCGGTTCCCCGGTCCATGGGACGACAAGACCTTCGGATGCTATGATCAACATGAGGGATTATGAGGGTTTCCGAAAATTAGGGGTACCTTATGTTGGGGTCCTTATAATAAGGATCCTATTATTTAGGGTACTATATTAGGGTCCCCTATTTTCGGAATTTTCAGGTCCCCCCAAATAGTACGGCACCCTCAAAAACGGAGCCTAGAAGGGACCCCAATTTAGACAACTACCCAAAACCCCAATCTCAGGCGTTTAGTTTGGGGGAGACGCTCTCGGCCTGAAAAAGTGGCGACCTCAGTGCTCACATCACTCCGGGGCCGTACTGGGCTCTTGTTAGGAAATGTCAACTAAGTTACCCCACAGTATTAGTTAGGGTCCCTTCTCAGGGCTCCTTAAAGGGATCTATAGGGGTTTGTATAAGGGTTTCTATAAGGGTTTCTATAAGAGTTTGTATAAGAGTTTCTATAAGCGTTCCAAAATGGAAACCCTGTCTTCAAGCGATGAATCCTGATAATCTGGTAGCTTAAACTGAGTTCCTTGGCAAGAACCCAGCCGAGGCCTTGGCTGATCACTAGGGTGATCACTAAGTACTGCGGAAGCCTTAATTAGAATAGGGTTTTGAGGTATATTATACTATATTCAAAATAAGGAACCCCCAACATAGTATAGGTAGTTATTAAGGCCCCTAGATTATCCTTGTTCTCAAGTCTCTTGCTTCATTCATGTCGGTCTCAACTACGACCACATCCCAAACAAGAACAAAATGTATTGACACTGACTACTATTCTCGCTTTTGCTTGGCACTACTATGTATTGTAATTGTGATTATCCTCCTATTCCTCAGATCCCCTCTGCAGCATTTAGGACTCCTGCCGTTGGCAGTAGTAACATATGAACTCTGCTTACATGCCCAGCCACCACCCCCGACAACAACAGCCCCTCGCCTGCCCGGAAATTTAGGATTCTCGTGCGCTTCGGTGGGGGATTGGGTCGAAATATCATATGATGTTTCCAGGTTTCTCAAGGAGTGAGCCTCAGCCCTTATAGCCCGAAAGCGCCAACCTTAAACCCAAAAGCCCTTCCGAACTGCTGGAGCCGGGAAGCCCCACAGGCACCTCAATACCAGAGTAAGGTTTAGGGTTTAGGGTTTAGGGAGCATAACTCAAATAGGAAAGTCCAATTCTAAATCCCTACCTCACTCACTGAACCGCTATAAGACGAGTAAAGCCCTACCTCAAACCTAGAGCTGAAACGCCCCTAGGTGAATGCGTGAGCTCCCCTCAGCGGAGCTGTTAGGGATCTTGAAATGAGAACCCAAAGTCAAAACCCCAAACCCAAGACTCCTAGACCCCTTAACCCTGAACCCTGGAGCCCTAAACCCTAGAGCCCTGAACCCCTAGAGCCCTAGGCCCCTCAAACCCCAAACCCTCGCGCCCTATAAACCCTAGACAGCCCCAAACCCTTATAGAGCCCTAAACCCCTAAACCCTGAATCGAAACCCTAAACCCTCAATCATAGAGACCCCCGGAGCATTGAGCCCTGAAGCCCTAAGCCATACATATCTGAACTCCCAAGCCCTAAACCCTGAACCCTAAACCCTAAACCCTGAGTCCCTAAGCCCTAAAC